CTCTCATTCTTGGAGTCCCTCGGCTGAAGCTGTGCGCAGGGTTCTTTATCGTCAAGCGCCTCAGTTGTCCTCCACATTGGCCGGTTTTCTCTCGGCAAAGAGCCAGTGACTCACTCAGTTCTCTGAGGGAGAACTCTCTTCCTCCATTTGTCTTACTCTGTGCAGTGTTCTGTCTATCTCTGGGAGAGTCACATTGGCTGCTACCCCCAAGTTGGGTAGGGCAAGTCAAGGCTGGCTGCTCCATACAGACTTAAAAGCTTCGGAAACACTGTGAATCAGAGTCCTCTTGATGACAGTGGGTAAGTAGGTTTCGGTACAATTTTTAAACAGGTGTTTTATTTTGGACGTTTCACCTGGTGGTTTCCATATTCCCTGCTCTTGACTCACTACCATTCCTTCTTGTTTCAGATGCATTGTCTTCCCTCCTGTTACCCCTTTAGGAATTCTGCTGTGTTTGCTCTAAGGCCCTCCCAGGGGGTTCTGTTTTGCACATACCCCCTTCTCCACCCCGCTTCACCATTTTAAAGAAGTCCCGTGGTTGAGTGCTCACCTGTGCCAAGGGGGAAAGATGTGGCACTCTGCTTCTGTAAAGATGTGTACCCCTTGGGGTAGTTGTACTCTTTCTTGCAGGGCCACTATGATTCAGAGTTGATTGGATGGAAGGGAGTTTGGTGTGAACACTGGTGAGACAGTGATTAAAGCACTCTGGGAGTGTGTTGAGGCCGTCTGCTGCCATAAAGATTTCAGCATTAGAAACCCTATGGGGCGGTTTACTTCTGTCCTGTAAGGCCAATGCAGGTCAGAGCTAACTTAACAGCCATGGGCTTGATTTAGGTCATACAGTTTGACCTCAGCTGCTATCTTTAAAACGATTAGCCATTCGAAATGCATCAGCTGCTTTGTGGGAGAAAGAAGAGGCTGTCTTCTCCAGTAAAGGTTTTCAGCCATAGAAACCCAGTGAGACATTTCTCCTCTTTAGTCCTACAGGGTCCTGTGAGTCAGAATCAGCTTGCCGGCTATGGGTTTGAGTTTACTTATATTGATTTGTTTCAGCGCTTGTCTTGTGTGGGAATTGATTTTTTCCCTTCTTTGTGAGGGAGTTTGTAGCTGTCTCACCCAACTTCATGACAGGGTGGATTTTTCCTATTGGGCACCCATGGTCCAGAGCTGGTGGCAGTCTTAGCTTTGGTCCAGGTATATGCCTAGACCTGCTTCCTCCCTCTTCCATGGGCAGTTCCAGGCACTGTGTTAGCCTCTTGTGACAAGTAGGGAGGCAGAGAGTTCCTGCCCTTGTGTCTACTCGTTGCGACTCTCAGTCACACTAGAGGGAGGGACGTGTGCTCCTGGTTCCTGTACCCACTAGAATCCTGATCCTGGGTGCTTTTATTCTGGATCCAGCATGCTTTGGACCAATAGTCTCACCCCAGCTGTGGTTTCTACCTCATTTCTAGTCGACAGAAGGTTTTATCTTGTTTTTCCTCATTATAATTTGTAAGGGTAGCATTTGAAAATCACTTTTAAGTTTAGAGTGGAAGTGAAGGTCTTGTATTTCTTTACTTTGCAATTTTTTAAAAGCTGGTTTTATTGCTGGTTCTTTTTGCTTTTTTCATTTACACATAGTAATACCCATTGGAGGGGAGGGCAGGCTTTTCTGAGGATTATGGCAAAACCACTACCACCAACTAAACCAGCAGCTGTCCAGTAGACTCTGACCCTGTAGGTCAAAGCAGAACTGCTCCACAAGGTTTCCAAGACTGTATATCTTTTTTTCTAATTGCATTTTTATTGGCACCTAGTCCTCAAATCATATACTTCAATAGTTCAGTAGTTCAATCATATCAAGAATTGTACAGTCATTATCACAATCAATTTTAGAACACCCCCCCATGGTTAAATCGCCTTTAAAGTTAGTTGTACAATTACACATCAGTTCTAGTGCTCCCTTCCTCCTCCCACCTTCATTGTTTACTCCTGAAATCCTATCACTGTCCCTATCTCCCACCACTTCCCCTCCATCCCCCATAAACCCTTGCATCAGCTATTACCTCGGCTTCCTCTTCTTCTGTGCTTCACAAACTGGGAAGCTCAATAGAAATAATAAAAAACAAAATTGAAATAAAGTGGTAGGGATAAAATAATAACATAAAGATAAAAATACAAGTAATGAGAAAGAAAAGACCACCCTCAATATTTAAAAAGCCAGGAAAGAAATTTTTGCCATGGAACCCACATGAGGTACTTGCACCTAGAATAAATTCAAGTTGGGTCAATAGGGAGGTCAGCTGACCAAGTATAAAGTTCGATCCAGCATAATCAAGATTACAATGATCTCTGTCTGATAGTAAGGCTGTTCGACACCCTTGCCTGGGACTAGTGGGGTCTAACTAGTTACTTTCAGTGGCTTAATCTAACTAGTTACTCTGCAGATGGTTTTGGGCTCCCACTGTTCTCCATAGCCTTCTACTAATTTATTTTAGCTGATACTATTCCCTTCGTCATATTTGAATTTTGTTGTTGCCATCTTTGGATCACACGAGCTGGTGTAATTCTTCCATGTGGAATTAGTTGACTCCTCACTTAGATGGCTGCTTGTTTGAATACAAGCCTTTAAGACCCCACACACTATTCTGATGGATAGCCGGGCACCATCTGCTTTCTTCACCACATTTTGTTGTAACACCCTTATTTTCATTGATCATTTCATAAAGGTGAGTACTGAGTGGGACGATGTTATCAGAACCAGCTCTTTTTGGATTGGGGTGAGAGGTCAGTAGGAGCCCAGAATCCATCTGTATGTATGTCCATGGGATATGCACGACTCAGGCTTACTTTGGTGGCTGTGATATGACAAAATTAAAACCCCTTAAGATAAGGTGACCAGATTTTAACATTGGTAAAGCGGGACAAAAGTGGGACACCGTTGATAAAATCCATATCCTGGCAAAATAGCCACATGGCAGCGCATACCCTAGCTTGTCATGCATTTTTTCCAAAAATCGGGACTTTTTAAAAATTGTTAATCGGGACGTGGTAAAAATTGTTAAAAATCGGAACTGTTCCACCAAAAGCGGGACTTCTGGTCACCTTACCTTAAGACCAACTATACCAATAACAGGAGAAAAAAAAAAAACAGAAAAAAGAAACAACAACAACAAAAAACCAAACTAAAGACGGGAAAGCAAAAACCCAAACCCATAGAAACAAAAAGGTAGAACATTGTCAATCATCCCCTGAGGTATAAGGCGATTGCACTGATAACACAGCATGACACAGCCCTGTGACAGCCCTCCGGACGCTGTTGGTATGGGGTACATTTCCACCTTGAGCTGCAACTCCTGAGTGGTTGGCCTACACAGTTCCATCTCCCATTCCATTGTGCTCTGTTTACTCTAAGTGAGGGGATTGGTGCTAGGGGGGCCTTCCTGGATCAATTCTTCCAAGTGTAGATCCCTGCCCAGCAAACCAAAACCTGCCCTGTCACTGTGAGGGGGGATTCGAGGTACTACATAAAGTGGTGATTCTAGTCCCTTTCCACTGGACACCAAGTCTGGGGTTCCCCCCAAGGTCCAATGGCCACCACTTCCATAGTCCTGGGTTGGCCACTCTCTGCTTCCTCTGTCATCCGAGTACCCCAGTCCTCGGTCCAAGGGTGCAGGCAGCTTTGAAGCAGGGCGCAGTTCATTCAGCTGGGCCATTATGTTAAGTCCTTCTGGTGTATTCCCTGTGTTATGCTAGGCTATGAATCTTTATAGCGCAGGTGTCCTGGCCTCTTCTTTCTCCCACAGAGCCATTGGTGGGTTTGAACCTCATATCTTTGAGTTAGCAGCCCACTGCTCAACTACTATGCTCCAGGGCTCCTTTCACCAATGCACAGAGCTGTGACTTTACCACAGCCAGAAAACAAAGCTGTTTCTTAACCCAGCAGCATCCTGACTGAGTGTCCAGCAACCAGACAGTTGGAGTCCTGGGATCTGGGGGCTGTGATTGCATTCCTGTCTGCGAGGTGGATGCTCCTGGGCCATGCCTAGGTGAACGCTGTGGGCGGGGTACCCATCAGGGACATCGGAACTCTTTGAGGGTGTAGGTTCCAGAAATCCCAGGGCAGTGAGGCATGTGAGCTGGGCTGGTAGCCACTCTCAACTGTGCTCTGTGCTGACTTTCCCCTAGCAGCCACAATGGTATCTGTACCTCAGCCCCTGAGAATAACAGTGGGACCTGCCCTGCTGCAGTGGGAAGGGATGGCAGCAACTGTCCCTGAGAGCTGCTACTCACTGTTAGCTAGCTGCTGGCTCTTTCTGCTCCCCACTCCCGCCAGGCGTATGTAGGAGGACTGTACCCTAGTGCCGTGCTTTCTCCTGTGCATCTGATGTGATTGGTGTGCTGTTGCTGCAAGGGGGTCACGCTCCACTTAAGCCTCCAGTAACTTGATTTCCACTCTGATTTCCTAGGACAACGTCAACTTGGATAGACAAGGGGGGGCGACGATGCACCATGGCGGCGGCCCCCCGAGTGCCCAGCACCCGCTGCAGCGGGCCCGCTCCTTCCCTGGTGGCAGCGAGGCCGAGGAGCAGCAGCCCCACTCCAGTCTGCCCCAGTCCCCGGCCCCGGCCTTCGCCCCGTCCCCCAGCCCATCTGCGCCCCAATCGCCTGGGTACCAGATCCAGCAGCTTATAAGCAGGAGTCCAGTGGGCCCAGTGAGCGGGCAGACTGTGAACATTGCCCTGCAGAATGTGGGTCCTGTGGTGGGGGGCGGCCCACAGATCACGCTGGCACCCCTGCCGCTGCCCAGCCCCACCTCACCCAGCTTCCAGTTCAGCGCGCAGCAGAGGCGTTTCGAACACGGCTCCCCATCCTACATCCAGGTCACCTCCCCGCTATCCCAGCAGGTGCAAAGCCAGAGCCCCACCCAACCCAGCCCCGGGCCAGGCCAAGCCTTGCCGAATGTGCGGGCCAGCACCTCAGGTCCTGGACTGGGCCTGTGCAGTGGTAGCCCCACCGGTGGCTTTGTTGATGCCAGTGTGCTGGTGCGGCAGATCAGCCTGAGCCCATCCAGCGGGGGGCACTTTGTGTTTCAGGAGGGGGCTGGTCTCAGCCAGTTGACTCCAGGCCCACAGGTGCAGCTGCAGCACGGAGGTCCGCCTGTCACTGCGCGGGAACGCAGATTGTCTCAGCCTCATGCACAGTCAGGAGGCACCATCCACCACCTGGGGCCCCAGAGCCCAGCGGCGGGTGGCAGCAGCATGCAACCCCTGGGCAGCCCTGGGCACCTGGCCACGGCCAGCCTGCCACCCCAGCTCAGCAGCCTGATCCAAGGGCAGCTGATGCAGCAGCAGCAGGTGCTCCAGGGCCAGCAACTGAGCCGCCCACTGGGCTTCGAAAGGGCGCCTAGCGTGCTCCTGCCGAGTGGGGGCGGGTCCTCGGCTTTCAGCATGACTTCCCCACCCCCGCCCACCAGCCCCTCCAGGACCTCGGGGCCACCAGGTCTGTCCAGCCTCCCGCTCACACTTGCAGTCGGCCCGGGAGTGAGGAAGGCACCCAAGAAGCTGGAGGAGATCCCCCCGGCATCTCCGGAGATGGCTCAGCTGCGGAAGCAGTGCCTGGACTTCCACTACAAGGAGATGGACATGCTCAAAGAGACCTTCAAGGAGTACTTGATGGAGCTGTTCTTCCTGCAGCACCTGCAGGGGAATATGATGGACTTCCTGGCGTTTAAGAAGAAGCACTATGCCCCACTGCAGGCGTACCTCAGACAGAACGATCTGGACATTGAAGAGGAGGAGGAAGAGGAGGAGGAGGAGGAAGAGGAGAAGTCAGAAGTCATCAACGATGAGGTATGTGCTCTGTGGTTGCGTGGTCCAGTGGGCGGGTGCCAGGCAGGGCCGTCTGTGCAGCAGTTACTGAGGCGATGGGGCTCTTCCTTCAGTTCTGGTTTCGTAAGGATTGGGACCAGGATTCAGAGGACAGAATGCAGTGTGAGCACTTTCCCCTCTTGGATAGGAGGACCTATTTCAGGAGAGTGGTGTGCTAGGAGGAAGATCAATAATGGTGCCGTAGTTAGTGGTTGTTAAAACCCAGATCTTTTCCTGTAGAGCCTGAGACTCGTCCAAGCTCAGAGTGAGTCTGTGCCTCCGCTTTCCCCTTCAGTCTCACAAGTAACTCCAAACTCACTGCCATCAAGTCAGCTCCAACTCAGAGTGACCTTACAGGACAGGGTAGAACTGCCCCATGTGTTTTCAAGGCTGCATATCTTTGCAGAAATAGAAAGCCTCACGTCTCTCCAGAGAAGCAGCTAGTGGTTTCGAACTGTTGGATTTGCAGAACTGCTACGCTACCAGGGCTCGTGACTAGCGTGGGAGGGTGGATACCAGCTGAGATTCTGACAGTGTGTGCAGGACCAGGTGTGAGCACGTGGAAGATGGATCTCTGAAGTGAGACGGGGTGTGTTAGCCCATTTGACTGGTGTTCCCTGCTCAGCTTTTAGATAGGCCTGCCCAGAGCCAGGAATTGAAATCCATGGCTTTTCTGAGCACACCAGCCACCATCAGCACACACTAGGCTGTTGGTGTGGTGCCTGCTGAGTGTTGGAGCCCTAGTGGAGCTGCTCTGAGGGGATCTTCCCACGCAGATGGCAGGCTCACTGTAAGTCAGGGTATATTGTTATTACTTAACTCAAAACCCACTGCATTTGAGAATGTTGTCCAGTCTGTCAGATCGCGAGTCCTCGAGCTCCTGCAGGTTCCCGCTGGGCGCTATTTCCAATAGCATCTCCTTTAGGTAGGGTACATGGCCTAAGTGTGTCACAACCCCCTGGGCTGGGATTTCGCACCACCAGGGAGTCCCTGAAGTGTGCCGAGAACGTGAGCAATGGGTGTAGGTGGACAGGCCTGGTCCCGTGCTACCCTGTCTCTGTCTTGTGTTGGTGGCCTCATGCTGTTTGGTGGAGCAGCGAAGCCGGCCCAAACCCGTCAGCTCCTACCCTGCCAAGAAATCCACCTTTGTCAAGCAAAAGCCAGTCTCTGCCTCGGCAGTGCTCACGACATTTATGGCTGTATCTGTGTGGCTTTGCCGTGTGTGTGTCCCTCAGCACCGCTCCAGAGTGGACCGTGTTTACTTCTCATTAGTTTGACAGTTCCTCTACTGCCACCAACCCTGTTTTCCGTCCTCTCTGTGTTTGTACCAGTGACACCGGTGCTGTCTGTAAGCTCAACCCCTCTTGCCTGAAAGGGAAAAACCCAAACCAAAAAACAAAACCCTTTTTAAGAACTCCCGCTGACCGGGCCTTGGCCGTCTCACCCTCAGCCCGTGGGGAGCAGGTGGTCCTGGGCACCTTGCCCCCGTGGGCGTACCTTGGGCCTCTGCTGCAGGCAGCCTGTCTGCCACTCCAGTTTGAACATTTGCAGCGAGGGAACTCTGAAGGTGTCTCACTGTGACCAACACTGGCCTCCCGCTTGGGGGACCCAGAGTGAGGCATCTTGCCGGCCTGTGTGTGCTCAGTGTCCTTCAGCCGAGAGCTGTCAGCAGTGAAAAGCCTACCAGCGTTTCAACAAGTCTTAAAAATTATGTTGCCTTTTTTTTTTTTTTTTTTTCTCAAAATATTTCCTCTCAGGTAAAGGTTGTGACAGGAAAGGATGGGCAGACTGGGACTCCTGTTGCTATAGCAACCCAGCTTCCGCCAAAGGTTTCTGCTGCCTTTTCTTCCCAGCAGCAACCACTTCAGGTACTTTTCGATGGTTCTCACATGCAGCCTCATCCCAAACTTTGCCTCCATCCAGATATCTTAACCTTCAACTTCCTGTGTGCTCTTTGGCATTTTTTTTTTCACCCCAGAGCCCATTCCTTATTTTTAAAAGAAATGGAAAACTTTCTGCATATAAAGTGATAAAATTACATTGCATGAGTAAATGACAACACAGACCCCATACATCATTTTTCGTGTTGACCCTAACACGTTGTAGCTTTTAGTGTGCATGTCCCTGTCCTCCGCCCTGCCCTGTTGAACATGCGTGTGGGGCCCTTCGTGTGCTGTGCTTTACGTGTTGTCCCTCCCTGTGCTTTCAAGAACAGAGCAGACCAGAGCAAGACAAAAGGACAGAAGCCAAGGACAGCGTGGTGTGTCTATAGCTAGAGGAGACGCACGCCAGAGGGAAGCTCGGCTCTGAAGTCGTCAGGGCCATGGGCTTGCAGTGCGTGCTGCCTGGAGCATTGTGAACCTGCCCATGTCCCAGAGTCAGCCCCCCAGAGGAAGACTTAGGTCACACCCTAGCCATTGTGAAAACAGTTCAGAAAACAGTTTCCTCCTGCTGGAGACATGGGGTTGTTATTTCTTATCACGTTATGATTGCAAACCTACACAAAAATGGTAAGGGTAGTATAATACCGGGACTCTTTGTATACCCTGTATCCAAATTCACCAGTTGCTAGCTTTTGGTCTGAGCTTGTTATTCATTTCTCTCTCACTCTGCCTCACATGTCTTCAAAGGGGCTTCCGAAAGTTCATGGAAAAATTCTATTATCTTTCAGTTCCATTTTTTCATGACCTTTTCTAACTTTTCCCACCCATGTGTGTGTGTTCTATCTAGCTGTTGGGAGAGTAAGTTGCAGATAGCATATCATGTCATTTTTCCCCTAACCATTTCACCACATACTAGGTAATGTGGGTCGTGTTACCATAGTCCAGGGGTCAGAATCACAGAATTTTGCAGTGATGTAAGACTATTGTGGAACCCACAAGGAGTTCTTGTGGCACAGCTGGTTAAGCCTTGGGATGCTAACTGCAGCGCTGTCTGTTCATCAGCTACCCTGCAGAAGAACGAGAAGGCTGCCTGCTCCCAGGGAGAGGAGGTCTCTGGCACTCACTCTGTGGAGCAGCTCTCTGTCTTACAGGAGCACTGAGTCGGGAATCAGCTCGGTGGCCGTGGGTTACATAACCTGAGGTTCAGATCCACATTGTTCCAGTGATCAGTAATTTGGGAGAGAGATTTTGAGGCCTTGCATACCTGCAAACCTTTCACCCATAGGTTTGGGCATCTGCTGATGATTCTTGGCCTGAATCAGCTACTACCTTAAAAGAGAACAGAACATATTTCTCTCACAGCCCCTTTTGCATTTGCTGTGTAGCATTTTTCTTATCACATTCACTCCTGTTTAGATTCTAGTTAATACATCACTACCAATTTTAGTTTTATTTTGTCTACATTTAGCAAATTCATTCCTTTTGGTTCACAGTTCAGTAAGTGTTGACAAATGCCGAGTGTTGTATAACTAGTTAAGAAACAGAGCAGTCCTATCGCCCCCAAAAGTTTACTCTGACTACTCCTTGACAGCCAAACCCTTCCTCCACCCTTAGCCTTTCCTCTCCAGTTCTGATTTTGCTTTTTCAGAATGAAATTGCAATGTGATAAATCATTTTTTGTATGGCCTATCTAGCTAGGGCCTTATAGCTCCCACCAAAGATTGGGTGAGACTACGCAAATAAAGGTGTCTGTGGGGCACCAAGGGTGCTGGACAGCTTGCTTTCAACTTGTATGAGATGCATGGCACCCTGTGGGGTTGGACCATGCATAAGGTGTGGGGACTTCAGCAAGGGAATTGGTGAGTTTTGCCATCCTACGAGACTCCAAATGAGCCACCTCAGAGGCAGAAAGAGAAATCACGAAGATTTTTCCCCTTTGTTTTCTGAGAATTTTATAGGTGGTGGTACTTTGGGGTCTGTTTTGTTTTGGTATATAACTCGTGTGTAAGATAGAGGTATAATAGTTTTGTTTTTGCTTTTGCATATGGACTTCCAGTTGTTCCTTCACCTTTTCTTGAAAAGACTATCTTTTCTCTGTTGAGTTGACTTTTCATCTTTATCAAAAATAAGTCAATCACTTTTGTGTTATATCTGTTTCTGGACTCTCTTCTCCGTCATCTGTGTGTCAGTCTTCATGTTAGTCCCGCAATCTCGTGATTACTCTAGTTTTCTAAGTCTTGAATCGGGTAGTATGAGCTTTTCTACTTTGTCCTTCTTTTTCGTAATTGTTTGGCCTATTTTTGGTCCTTCCTCTCTTTAGATGAATTTTAGATTCAACTTGTCAATAGCTAACAAAGCATCCTTGTGGAAGTTTCATTGGAATTCCATTGAATAGGTTGCCTAGTTTGAGGAGAATTGTTATCTTGGCAATACTGAGTTTTCCAACCTACAAACATAGTGTTTGCATCACACCATTTTTTTCAGGTTTTTTATTTCGTTCGTTAGCATTTTGAATGCCAGTCCTGTGCATCTTGTATAACAGATTATTCTGATTTTGCCTGTTACTATAAATAGTACTTTTTTTTAAAGTGGGGTTTCAATTGTTCATTGCCAATACAGAGAAATAATAGTTGATACTTAATGTTGTAGAGCCTGGTTTAGCATTTTTTAGTTTTGGAGGTTTGGGGGCTTATTTTTGATAGTTTCTTTGGGAATTTCTATATAGACTGTGATGCTGCCTAAATAGAGCAGGCTTGATTTTCACCTACCAGGCTATATACCATTTCCGTACCATTGCGCGTGACGTTAACTGTGGATTTTGTGGTCGCCATTTATCAGATTAAAGTCTCTTCTTTTATGTTTGTTGGGAATATTTATCATGATGCGTATTGTACTGTATTGTCTACCATTACTGCTTCTATTAAAATGGCCATGTGGTTTTTCTGTGATCCCTTCACATGAGCCACATTAGATATGTAGGGTAATTCACATACAGGGGCAAGTCACAGATCTTAAGAGTCAGTTTCCTGAGATTTGTCAACAAGGTATAAATTGCATCATTGCCGAAAAGTTTCCTGGGCTTACCCGAAGCCTCACATC